CTGAGTCCACCTTGTTGACACTGTTTTGTTGGTGTATCACTAGTTTCTGCTTGTCAGAAGTAAATAACCTCAGTAACCAGGTACAAGACAGTTTTTTTAAAAGCAGCTTTATCTGCTTGAGTTTATAACTTTTTAAAACTTCAGGTTTTTATTACTCTTGCTCAACAGAGAAGCTTAGACAAATCAGAAAAGCTGCAAAAACCTCCCACAAGCAATGYGATTTAGAGCTGCAACTAACGATTATTTTAATAATCGATTAATCCATTGGTTATTTTTTCGATTAATCGATGAATCGGCCAAATAATTGAAACACTTGATTATAAAAATATGCGTAAATATAAATTAATTTAATTCCTGTTTAAATTAGTGATGCAAGTTATTGATTAACAAATTAATCTAAAGTTGATTGATCTTCCCGATCGACTAAATAATTGATAAGCAGTCATTTTCTTAAAAACCTGAGTATTTGCTTCAATCAAGAGGGCTTTTTTCATAACATGAATAATATGCTAAATTTTAAAAAAGAACCATATCATTATATTTTAACAATTTATTAGCTGCATTAAATACTGACTGAAAAAAACAAACAAAAAAACTTTGATTTCTCATAAATAAATAAACTTGGTTTATACTTATAAAATACAACAAAACGGAAATCTGATAGAATAGAATAGAATAGAATAGAATAGAATAGAATAGAATAGAATAGAATAGAATAGAATAGAGTAGAGTAGAAACAGCCTTTATTGTCCCTCGTGGGTAAATTCGGGTGTAAGAGCAGCAGCAGATACAGAACATTCATAATCCACAGAAACAATATATTGCTATGTGACATTATCAACTTTAGCAATAATAATAGAATTAAAGATAGTAACAATAAAAATAAACAGAATAAACTAAAAATAGATACAAATGAAAGTTAAAGCCTGGGCTTCTCAATGAGGAAAACAGATGAAAAGAATAAAACATGATTTTAAATGCAAAACTATTATTAATTTATTATTATTATTAGGTTTTATTTGCATTTATAATTGATGATTTTTCTCTGATTCTTTATTTTTGTTGCCTTTTTGTTGGTTCTGTCTGTGGTTAATGCAGTTGTGGCAAAACACAGGAGAAAACCCTTTGTACGGGGCGCTAACGCCGTTACAGCTACTGAAGATGGCTTTTAAAACTTAAATTCAAAATGTGTTAATTGAAAACATTGATTCTAACCCGTGGTCTGGTAGTTTGAAATGCAGCTTGGACACCAGACACAACTGTGAGTTTGATGTCTTGTAGGGAAGCTTTAGCAGTGTTAACGGTGTTGGCATAGTTAGCAGTTGCTGTTGTCTCAGGATGATGATGTCACAACAAAATCCTTCACCAACATCAAAGGCTGCGTTCCACTCTGAAATTCTTTAGCCAAGCAAAACAACAAAACATTGTATTTACTGATTATTCCCAAGGATGGCTGTTTAGACAGTAGTTTTATCTCCATTAAAATGATCACAATACTGCTAATCCTCAAGCTGCTTTGCTTCTAATCTGTATCTTCAAAATCTAATCATRCCTCACCATATATCACCTTGAAAATAAATTCAAAATCACAAACCGCTTCCACCCACTGCCTCGAGCAGGATGACATCAACTTACTTACTGTAGGTTTCAACAGACTCAGATTCCCAGTCTAAATGGTATTTATAGGAGTATTTGTAGTGATTTTCCTCCCAAACATTAGCCGAAACACAAACTGTTTTAACTAAACACAAAGACCACTTTTGTTTTTCACAGTTTCACCCCTTTTAAATGAAATATTTAACCTCTTAACATTCATACACCAGCTGATAACTAATCATGCAAAAACCAAACTAAATGCAAAAATTTAAAATTCACCACAGTTTTTACCTTCTCCAGCTGCTTTAGTGATTAGACAGCGAGTTTTACTTTCAGTCAAATTCCTCGCACTCCATTCACATTCGTCTTTGTTTTTGAAGACTGTCGTGCTGCTCTGAATGTGTTCAGGTGACGTAAGACAGCCCTCACTTCCTCAAAGGGATAGTTCAGATTTTTAAAAAGGGGTTTGTGAAGAGTAAAGGTCTTACCTGATAGTTTTTTGATTGATCTCAGATTAAAGAAACAAATTAATTCTGACCAGATCGATGAGCTAACGGCTAGTCTAAACATGGCCGAAACCAAAGTGGATCGTGACATTTCAAAACAATACTTATCTTCAAATTCAATAACAGTTCAGTCGACCATCATTTTATAAATATTTACATCTTCATCAGCTTTACATAAAGTGTTTACATGAAAGTTTGTGATTACTTGAAACAAAAACTGTAGTTGATTATTAAAAAATATCTCAGTACATTCAACCAAAATAAATGATCTGTTAAACCGCTAAAACATCTTTACTCTGTTGGCTTTGTTGGTTTCTCTGCCAGGTTAGGTTTAACATCTTGTTCTGCAACTCAGATTGCACATAGAATATTATTGGCTAATGGACCGAACTTCTATGTAAAGTGAATGTCTACTAAGTGACGTGATGTGAAGRTTTACAAAAGAGCGTTTGAATCTTTTTTGATGGGGTTTATTAAACCAGGGGAGGGCCTCCATCCTGCATGTTTTACTTGTTTCTCTGCTCCGACACACCTAATTCAGTAGTTAAATTACCYATTCAAGTTCTGCAGCAGTCTAGCTAATCCTCCAGTCATTAAAATCAGGTTTGTTGGAGAGAAATCACTAAAACATGCAGGATAGCGACCGTCAAGGATTGAACTGTGGGTTAAGTCAACTTGCTGCGAGGATGGGCTTATTAAAGGGGAAGCCAGCTTCACAGTTTGACTGTGTGATGTGGAGATGACAGGATCTGTGGGATCAGCCAACATCGTGCTTTAGAACGTTTGAATTTTATATGTTGTGCTTCACATCGACACAAGAGATATGTATACTCGTGTCTCATTTGATTTTAGATGTYGACTTCTTTTATGGAATACTCTACCACATCTTCACAGAACAGAAGGCTCAGTTGGTGATTTTTTTTCTAAAAAATACCAGCAGTGAGGACTTGTTCAGAATCAGAAATGTGTATTTTACAAAAGGCATAGCTTCTCCCGATTTAGAAAAAGCACAAGTTAGTTACTTTAGTCTGCTGACATGAGTCATATGACTATATAATGTTTTATATACAGTATATTGTGGTGCGAAGAAATTTATATGTTAGTGTTTTGAAAATGAGTCTACTTTCATCAGGAAGCCTGTGCAGAGATCTACAAACAGGTGTTCAGATTTTTCTACCCATTAGCTGTATTTGCTTTACAGCACATTCTGTAAAAACTGTCCTGACAGCTGCATGAATTAATGTTTTGAAATGGGTAAAAACGTTTGAGCTTTTCGAAATTATTCTCAAATGAAAAAAAAAGCGAGTTTAGTGATTCGATTGTGGTTTTGTGTTTTATTTCTAGACTCCAGAGAGGAAGGGTCGAGAGGAGCTGTGGCTTTCTGTTTCTGAGCCTCTGCACTGAAAATAAGTGTTTCTGTTTTTTATCTTTTAGTTCACACACACACACACACACACACACACACACACACAC